TGTGTGTGGTGTTGTGTGTTGTGTGTGTGTGAGGAACGTCCCGCTGATTGGTCCCAAATGTAACCGGCTCCGCGGACGTTACGTTACGTCACTATACCCGAAATACGTCACTATACCCAAGAAGTAAACAATGGAAAAAGAGAAATCTCCAAGGAGGCGTTCTGGGGCAGCACAGACAGGTCTTCTCTGTGTTAGAGTTTTACTCGCTACAGGGTGCACTTTGAGGGTTTGTGACTCTGCAGACCGTTTACATGCAGAAAAAGCTACATAACACACAAGGGGACGGGTGATAACCGGGAAAGCATGACATGGGACCTTTAAGAGATACAGGGTTCTCAGAGTACAGTAACTGACCAACACAATTAGATTTGATTGAATATGATACATAGCTGTGGAAAAAAACACCCCAAAGTAAGATAAAATAAAATACACAGACTATTACTAATCCCAATTTGGGAATTGTTGTTGTTGCAGCAGCATAAAACAAAACAAGGCATTGCACATGATAACAAATTGAACGAGTAGAAATAAACAATTCTAAAATAGAAGCATCTCAAAATAGAAATAAACCAGCATTAGAGAGTAATGTATATAACGTAGTTAAAAGTAGCTCAATCTGAAGCATCTCCATCAGTCAAATGCAATATGCAGTAATGCAGCAGTAATATTAATCCAAAAACATCGTATAGCGTGAAGGGAACACTTTTTTCACATCTTTGCTGAAACACACTGTTGCTAAAGGGTTTTAATGCAGGACTTCGACTTGTATTGGAGTATTTTCACAGTGTGGTATAAGTATTTTTACCTAAGTACCACTTTGAGTTGCGAATCCAATCACATGGGCTTAAGCACGTGTGTTCAACATGGATGAGCTTTGATTGACAGCTGTGGAGATTCATTTCAAGTAGGAATGTTTCCACATGTGAAGCGGATGTGGAAAAGATTGAAATAAAAATCACCTGATGTCTGACACACATGGCCGACAGTCAGAACAAAGACTGCATCGTGTTTGACTCAACGTGGTTTCACTTGTCCTCCAGGAAGGTAGGACTTTATAGTTATCCCTTTTTATTTCATGCAGTAAAATATATACTGTATGAATAAAGTGGAACATATGTGACACATACAGAATGTAGATAGCTGGAAATATAGATTGATTGTAGACAATTATAACAACTAGACGATTTAGTTTGCTATTGGTTGAGTAATGTAAGAGTTATTTATGTGATATCATCATTAAAAATTGATCTGATATAATTGGGAGAGATGAAACCCTCTTTAATGGTCACACATGCAGAGCACACACAGGGTGCTTCTCAATCGCGAGTACGCTTGCTTGGTAGCACATGTCTTCCGAGCGTCTTGCTTCAGAAGCGAGGCAAGAATCCTTCCTGGCATTCGGAAAACAAAGAGTGGAACAGGCGAGCAAGTGTGCAGGTGTGCGTCATATGAGAGGCCTTACATTTTCCGCCACAGATTTGTGGAAATTGGTCCGTGCGCAAAGCATTGTGGGGATTTTAAGACCGCGGACTCTACACATGTGCAGCCTCGAAATTTCTCCAAACGAAGCACGCCGGGCTCGGTAGAATACATTGGAACAGTACTTCGGCGGGACTCGATGACGTAGTATGCTTGAAATAGTGGCTTTGGAGCAGCTTTACTCGCGATTGAGAAACACCCACAGTGAAATTTGTTCTCTGCAATTAACCCATCCTAGTACTCGGAGTCTAGTACTAGGAGCAGTGGGCAGCTATTGTACAGCGCCCGGGGAGCAATGGGGGAAGGGGGGTGTCCGGTGCCTTGCTCAAGGGCACCACGGCAGGGTAGGAGGTGAACTGGGACCTCTCCAAGTAGCAGTCCACAATCCATAATGTCTGGTCGGGGGCTTGAACCGGCGACCCTACAGCTCCGAGTCCAAGACTGACTGAGCTACTGCCGGGCTACCATTTGCATTTGATTGTTTAAATAAAAGGACTGAAGGCCAAGGATGTGCCTGCCATCCCTCCTCTTCTTCTTCTTCCCATCGTTGGGCATTTATGATCCATCCATAACTTGTTTTCAGTGTTTTGGAGTGTCAGGACATGTTTGCACAACAGCTAAATGCATTTTATTGGCAGCAGTTTTGTGTGGTTCCACATGCAAAAAAGAAGCCAAATTCTCAGTTAAAACCACAAGCACAGAGAGAAAGAAAGTTGTATCTGTGAATCTTGACACATGGATCCTGGGTGGTCCTGCACTTTGTTGCTCATGACCTTAAAAAGTCTAAAAATGTAAGTTGTTTTCTGGTAAATGTTCCTATTTGTTATGCAGGGTTTGATCAGGTTTCCCAGAAGAGCGGAGACTGTTCTCCAAGGATAGAAATGGCCATGAGTTTGAAATAAGATGTTGTGGGTGTAATATACATGTGGGTGTAATATCCAAGCATCAACGACCCAAAGTGTTTGATTCCTTTGAGTTTTACATATAAATGTGGTTGAAAACAATTCTGTAAAAGGGAATCTTTATATCCTTTTGTTGTTGTTTATAAATACTCAGGATTTGAGAAAAAACATCTAGTTGTGTAAACTTAGAATTAAAAACGGGATGATTTTAATAAAGTTGCTCCTATAACTGAAAACCTATCCACCAAACTGTTATTCAAATCTTAAGTTTCAGGATCATCTAGAGCAGGGGTGTCAAACTCAAATACACAGTGGGCCAAAATAAAAAAATGTGTACTAGTGGAGGGCCGGACTGGTTCAATGTTTATTGCAGAACTTATTGAAATGAACTTATTGCACATATTAAACCTGGAACTAACAAAGCTTAATTATTGCCTATAAAAACAACATTAAATAACCAGGTGCATTCATTTCTTATGGCTCTATCTGCAGAGTCATTTCTTATGAGTACATTTTTCCACAGGCCAACAACAGCTTCAACAAAACTATTCCCCTCAAAGAGAAACCCAAACATGCCCTGTTGTCGTGAGAGAAAGTGCAGAAGGAAACATCCATTAAATTCGGTGTGCTGCTCTGTGCTGTTCAGATACTGGGCATCTCATCTTGGGTGCAAGGTCATCAATGTTTGGGCTCAGGCTCTGAGCTGAGGAGACCCTCAGGATGGAGTGAAGGTGTGCGTGCAATATATCGGCGGGCCAGATCTAATTGTAATTAGAAATTATCCTGCGGGCCGAAATTAAATCCACCAAGGGCCTGATTTGGCCCCCGGGCCTTGAGTTTGACACATGTGACCTAGACCTTGATAACAGCCATTGTGAAAAACAAACACAATGCTGTTCTGCCGCTTTCATTGATCATCTTGAGGTGAGATTGCTTTATTCATTTCTTTTTTCTTTACTCTATTGTTTGCTTTTTTAAACCTCAAATAATCCTGACGATTAGAGAGGAATGAAATCAATACAGAAATAACGAGTTATGAAGGGATGATATACTGCATTTACTCAATGTGAGCATGTCATGTCACAATGTGCAAGCATACAGTGTACATACACATACAGAGAACACTTGCACACCAATATGACATACAATATATATATTCAGTTTTTGGTGCAATGCTTTTGAGTATCCACATCCTTTTTGCCATCTGCTGCATTTAAGTCCTGGATGGCTATCAGCAACATATGCATAACTGTGATTCAAAAACAAATCTTGAAATATCATTCTGCTTAATATAAACACATGCTGCGTGAGCAAACATCTGGCTGTATCTTATCTTGTTGTATCTTATGATAATGAACCGTCCATGTAGATTACATATCAGAGAGGCTTTGACACACAATAGCCCTCTTATGTTTGTATTTAAATCATGAAAATAACTGAAGCAATTGTCCGTAATGTGATCATGACATAAAGGATCATCCTTTGTTTGTGACCGTTTCTCTGTGGCCGCAGCAGAGAGTAACCCATCCTTTTTCTATCAAACTCACCACAACATGTGGCAGCATGAGCCCACACACATGAGCTCATATCCCTCCAGGGTAACCAGGATTGGGGTGAAAGTAAGAGTTGCAGTCTTTCTATCAGCGTCCAGTTGTCATAGGACTACATTCCTGCTTCTCTTCCTCATAATGAAGTGGTTATCCCTCCTCACAATGAGAGGAGCGAGATGGGAACATAGCAGCATGTGAAGGAGATGAAACAATAATGGGATCATGAGAGTCAAGGTCAACCTCAAGTGAGTGAAATTCTTTCAGACAAACCCTGACATTACATGGAGAACAGACACATGCTGTGATGAGGATTAAACAAAGTACTGTACTATACTGTATACATTCCCAACAAATTGTATGTGGAAGAAAACGATGAGTATGTCGAACATATCATGCAAGAGTCATAGTAAAGTTTGTCAAGATATAATGTGAAATGTCTTATCATAGTGTGTCAACGAATATGTCAAAGGTTTAGAAAAAAAGGTATGTATCGTGAAAAAGTCATAGTATAGTATTTCAAAAAAATTATCATGACATTTTACCGTAAATAATATCCCAAAAGATCAACGTATAGTATGCCGAAACATATTAATAAAAAATAATAGTATACAATGTTGAAAATATCATACAACAAGTCATATTATAGTATGTCCAAAATATTACACATAGGTATACTATAGACTGTGTAATAAGTTACAAATATATATAAAAGGCCATTGTTTAATACGATTGAAGCTCCTATCAGAGTATGTAAAACATCATGTGAAACAAAAGTCCAATGACATTATGTCTAAACATTTTTTTAAAGAAAGTCATCATAGCATAGTGTTGGAAAAAGTCATGGTTGAACAAATATGAAAAGACATACCATCTTATGTCGTGGCTGACCTCTATTGGTGAAATAATGTATTACAATGGTAACTGCTTTCAGTATTATGTTGAAATACTTTTAATCAAACACTTCATCATCACAGTACTACATATTATAAACCCCTCTAAACTCTCTAAAAATAACAGGCATGGAGATTAGCTACTGTCTTTATACCCAGACACAAACGACATGCGTTCAGTTTGTCCCTCTGTGGCCTCCGTACAGCCCGCTGAGACGGAAGCATTGTTTTGAATGTTCGGCGCGTTTTGAGTTTGTGCAGCAGATTTGTTGAGACAGTGAAAGTAAACGCAGGTAATGTAACATTTATCCATTAAAGTATTACGTTAACTGACCCAAAACAGTATAATGGTTTAATTAATTGGTCTGCCACCATATTAAAACCAAAGCTAACATTGCCGTTGCAGTACATTCGCCATGTTTCGTTGCTATAGTTTTTGTTGTTAGCTAAATGTTTACACAATACTGCTGCATGGTCTATTAACAAGTTATCTATCAATTCATGTCACTTTACAGTACATTACCAGTTGTGCAGATATCGTAATGCCTTTTCTTTTTATGGAGCCACAATTATGTCGTTGTGAATTAACGTAACATGTTTTAAACGTTATGTCAGTTATGCCAGCCTCCATTCACAATGTAGTTATTTATAGCCTTTGTATGTATTCTTACTAAAGATAACCTTATACACAGTAAGTTCAACACAAGACAGTTTAGATTTTAATTTGGCTTATATTACATGCATCAAAACACAACTTATATACAGTTTAAACAAGACATGTCAAATAGTAAGTCTAACAATGAACCAGATTAGCTTTAACTAGATAGTGTTTCTCAGGATAGTTACAAATTATCTGTATGGGTCATTTGCTCTTCTCCCATTCACTATTTTGTTATTCATTGCATGTTATGTAGTCTTACTAAATATGAGACAGTTCAGATATTAATTTGGCTTGTATCACATGCATCAAAACATAATTATATACAGTATTATTATATATATATATATATATATATATATATATATATATATATATAGTTTAAGCAAGACCATTGGTGTGTAAAGTAACTAAGTAAATGTACTCAAGTTATGTATTTAAAGGTCCCATGTCATGCTTTTCCGGTTATCACCCGTCCCCTTGTGTGTTATGAAGGTTTTTCTGCATGTAAACGGTCTGCAGAGTCACAAACCCTCAAAGTACACCCTGTAGCGAGTAAAACTCTAACACAGAGAAGACCTGTCTATGCTGCCCCAGAACGCCTCGTTGGACATTTCTCTTTTTCTTCCTGGGTACAGTGACCTGCCCATACCCAAATGAACCCATTGGTCCAAATGGACCAATCCCCGGAGCCGTTACATTTGGACCAATCCGTGGACTTCCTCACACACACACACTCAATCTTTTCTCAGCTGCAGCTCCGCCGATTTCTCCTCCCTGAGATGGCAGGACGCGGCGAGGCTGTGAGTCGGTGTGTGTGAGCACACACACAAACTCCCAGCCAGGCTGCGGGTGTGTGTGTTACTTTACAGATGTGGATGAATGATGTGAAGTCTGAAGTCTTAAGTCTTAAATCAGACTTTAGTTCCACCTGGAGTAAATTCACAAGCTACCCTGCAGTATACAAACTAGCTGCACCTTTACCAGCTTTGAGAACACTTTCATGATCAATCATTATAAAACATATCATATATATTATTCTGAAATGGACCAATCTGCACAATGACTACTTTTACTGTCGCTACTTTAAGTATATTTTGATGCCAACACTTTGACTTGTAACAGAGTATTCCTACACTCTGGTACTTCTATTCTTACTTAAGTACTTTTCCAGACTGAACAAGACATGTGAAAGTATCTTTACAAGTCTAAACCTTAACTAGATAGTGTTTCTCAGGATAGGTACATTTAATCTGTTTGGATCGTTTGCTCCTATCCCCATATGTATGTTCCCCTGTGATTTCTTACGTTGTTTGTTTTTCCTATCACAGAATGGCCTCCAAATGTATCAATGAGAGTGCGATGAAGACTCCTACAAACGTCCGAGTGAAGAAGTTTGTGAACGGGGGGACCCCCATCACCATCCCGGCCTCACCCTTCATGAAGAAGCTCGGCTGTGGGACTGGGGTCAACGTTTACCTCATGGACAGGTTTGTAGTTTCCTCTGTTTGATAAAAAACAAATGTGTCTGATATATCAACACCGGAAAAACAAGACATGCAAATTATATGAGCAGTTTCTGTATTGAATAGTCACATATCTTCAGAGGTGGGAAGTAGTGGAGTACAAATACTTCGTTACTGTACTTAAGTACATTTTTCTGGTATCTTTACTCCACTACTTATTTTTCTGACGACTTTTTACTTTTACTTCTTACATGTTGAACACAAATACCTGTACTTTCTACTTCTTACATGTTGAACCCAAATACCTGTACTTTCTACTTCTTACATGTTGAACACAAATACCTGTACTTTCTACTTCTTACATGTTGAACCCAAATACCTGTACTTTCTACTTCTTACATGTTGAACTCAAATACCTGTACTTTCTACTTCTTACATGTTGAACTCAAATACCTGTACTTTCTACTTCTTACATGTTGAACTCAAATACCTGTACTTTCTACTTCTTACACATTGAACACAAATACCTGTACTTTCTACTTCTTACATGTTGAACACAAATACCTGTACTTTCTACTTCTTACATGTTGAACACAAATACCTGTACTTTCTACTTCTTACATGTTGAACACAAATACCTGTACTTTGTACTTCTTACATGTTGAACCCAAATACCTGTACTTTCTACTTCTTACATGTTGAACCCAAATACCTGTACTTTCTACTTCTTACATGTTGAACACAAATACCTGTACTTTCTACTTCTTACATGTTGAACCCAAATACCTGTACTTTCTACTTCTTACATGTTGAACTCAAATACCTGTACTTTCTACTTCTTACATGTTGAACTCAAATACCTGTACTTTCTACTTCTTACATGTTGAACTCAAATACCTGTACTTTCTACTTCTTACACATTGAACACAAATACCTGTACTTTCTACTTCTTACATGTTGAACACAAATACCTGTACTTTCTACTTCTTACATGTTGAACACAAATACCTGTACTTTCTACTTCTTACATGTTGAACACAAATACCTGTACTTGTACTTCTTACATGTTGAACCCAAATACCTGTACTTTTCTACTTCTTACATGTTGAACCCAAATACCTGTACTTTCTACTTCTTACATGTTGAACACAAATACCTGTACTTTCTACTTCTACATGTTGAACCCAAATACCTGTACTTTCTACTTCTTACATGTTGAACTCAAATACCTGTACTTTCTACTTCTTACATGTTGAACTCAAATACCTGTACGTTCTACTTCTTACATGTTGAACTCAAATACCTGTACTTTCTACTTCTTACACATTGAACACAAATACCTGTACTTTCTACTTCTTACATGTTGAACACAAATACCTGTACTTTCTACTTCTTACATGTTGAACACAAATACCTGTACTTTCTACTTCTTACATGTTGAACACAAATACCTTACTTTCTACTTCTTACATGTTGAACACAAATACCTGTACTTTGTACTTTTTACATGTTGAACCAAAATACCTGTACTTTCTACTTCTTACATGTTGAACACAAATACCTGTACTTTCTACTTCTTACATGTTGAACACAAATACCTGTACTTTCTACTTCTTACATGTTGAACTCAAATACCTGTACTTTCTACTTCTTACATGTTGAACACAAATACCTGTACTTTCTACTTCTTACATGTTGAACCCAAATACCTGTACTTTCTACTTCTTACATGTTGAACTCAAATACCTGTACTTTCTACTTCTTACATGTTGAACTCAAATACCTGTACTTTCTACTTCTTACATGTTGAACTCAAATACCTGTACTTTCTACTTCTTACACATTGAACACAAATACCTGTACTTTCTACTTCTTACATGTTGAACACAAATACCTGTACTTCTACTTCTTACATGTTGAACACAAATACCTGTACTTTCTACTTCTTACATGTTGAACACAAATACCTGTACTTTCTACTTCTTACATGTTGAACACAAATACCTGTACTTTCTACTTCTTACATGTTGAACACAAATACCTGTACTTTGTACTTCTTACATGTTGAACCCAAATACCTGTACTTTCTACTTCTTACATGTTGAACCCAAATACCTGTACTTTCTACTTCTTACATGTTGAACACAAATACCTGTACTTTCTACTTCTTACATGTTGAACCCAAATACCTGTACTTTCTACTTCTTACATGTTGAACTCAAATACCTGTACTTTCTACTTCTTACATGTTGAACTCAAATACCTGTACTTTCTACTTCTTACATGTTGAACTCAAATACCTGTACTTTCTACTTCTTACACATTGAACACAAATACCTGTACTTTCTACTTCTTACATGTTGAACACAAATACCTGTACTTTCTACTTCTTACATGTTGAACACAAATACCTGTACTTTCTACTTCTTACATGTTGAACACAAATACCTGTACTTTGTACTTCTTACATGTTGAACCCAAATACCTGTACTTTCTACTTCTTACATGTTTGAACCCAAAATACCTGTACTTTCTACTTCTTACATGTTGAACACAAATACCTGTACTTTCTACTTCTTACATGTTGAACCCCAATACCTGTACTTTCTACTTCTTACATGTTGAACTCAAATACCTGTACTTTCTACTTCTTACATGTTGAACTCAAATACCTGTACTTTCTACTTCTTACATGTTGAAACCTACAAATACCTGTACTTTCTACTTCTTTACACATTGAACACAAATACCTGTACTTTCTACTTCTTCATGTGAACACAAATACCTGTACTTTCTACTTCTTACATGTTGAACACAAATACCTGTACTTTGTACTTTTGTACATGTTGAACCAATACCTGTACTTTCTACTTCTTACATGTTGAACACAATACCTGTACTTTCTACTTTCCTTACATGTTGAACACAAATACCTGTACTTTCTACTTCTTACATGTTGAACTCAAATACCTGTACTTTCTACTTCTTACATGTTGAACACAAATACCTGTACTTTCTACTTCTTACATGTTGAACCCAAATACCTGTACTTTCTACTTCTTACATGTTGAACTCAAATACCTGTACTTCTACTTCTTACATGTTGAACTCAAATACCTGTACTTTCTACTTCTTACATGTTGAACTCAAATACCTGTACTTTCTACTTCTTACACATTGAACACAAATACCTGTACTTTCTACTTCTTACATGTTGAACACAAATACCTGTACTTTCTACTTCTTACATGTTGAACACAAATACCTGTACTTTCTACTTCTTACATGTTGAACACAAATACCTGTACTTTCTACTTCTTACATGTTGAACACAAATACCTGTACTTTGTACTTTTTACATGTTGAACCAAAATACCTGTACTTTCTACTTCTTACATGTTGAACACAAATACCTGTACTTTCTACTTCTTACATGTTGAACACAAATACCTGTACTTTCTACTTCTTACATGTTGAACTCAAATACCTGTACTTTCTACTTCTTACATGTTGAACACAAATACCTGTACTTCTACTTCTTACATGTTGAACACAATACCTGTACTTTCTACTTCTACATGTTGAACTCAAATACCTGTACTTTCTACTTCTTACATGTTGAACCCAAATACCTGTACTTTCTACTTCTTACATGTTGAACTCAAATACCTGTACTTTCTACTTCTTACATGTTGAACCCAAATACCTGTACTTTCTACTTCTTACATGTTGAACTCAAATACCTGTACTTTCTACTTCTTACATGTTGAACACAAATACCTGTACTTTCTACTTCTTACATGTTGAACACAAATACCTGTACTTTCTACTTCTTACATGTTGAACTCAAATACCTGTACTTCTACTTCTTACATGTTGAACCCAAATACCTGTACTTTCTACTTCTTACATGTTGAACTCAAATACCTGTACTTTCTACTTCTTACATGTTGAACCCAAATACCTGTACTTTCTACTTCTTACATGTTGAACCCAAATACCTGTACTTTCTACTTCTTACATGTTGAACTCAAATACCTGTACTTTCTACTTCTTACATGTTGGAACTCAAATAACCTGTACTTTCTACTTCTTACATGTTGAAACCCAAATACCTGTACTTTCTACTTCTTACATGTTGAACCCAAATACCTGTACTTTCTACTTCTTACATGTTGAACACAAATACCTGTACTTTCTACTTCTTACATGTTGAACACAAATACCTGTACTTTCTACTTCTTACATGTTGAACCCAAATACCTGTACTTTCTACTTCTTACATGTTGAACACAAATACCTGTACTTTCTACTTCTTACATGTTGAACCCAAATACCTGTACTTTCTACTTCTTACATTTTGAACCCAAATACCTGTACTTTCTACTTCTTACATGTTGAACACAAATACCTGTACTTTCTACTTCTTACATGTTGAACACAAATACCTGTACTTTCTACTTCTTACATGTTGAACCCAAATACCTGTACTTTCTACTTCTCACATGTTGAACACAAATACCTGTACTTTCTACTTCTTACATGTTGAACACAAATACCTGTACTTTCTACTTCTTACATGTTGAACCCAAATACCTGTACTTTCTACTTCTTACATGTTGAACTCAAATACCTGTACTTTCTACTTCTTACATGTTGAACACAAATACCTGTACTTTCTACTTCTTACATGTTGAACCCAAATACCTGTACTTTCTACTTCTTACATGTTGAACACAAATACCTGTACTTTCTACTTCTTACATGTTGAACTCAAATACCTGTACTTTCTACTTCTTACATGTTGAACACAAATACCTGTACTTTCTACTTCTTACATGTTGAACTCAAATACCTGTACTTTCTACTTCTCACATGTTGAACTCAAATACCTGTACTTTCTACTTCTTACATGTTGAACACAAATACCTGTACTTTCTACTTCTTACATGTTGAACACAAATACCTGTACTTTCTACTTCTCTCATGTTGAACTCAAATACCTGTACTTTCTACTTCTTACATGTTGAACACAAATACCTGTACTTTCTACTTCTTACATGTTGAACTCAAATACCTGTACTTTCTACTTCTTACATGTTGAACTCAAATACCTGTACTTTCTACTTCTTACATGTTGAACTCAAATACTTGTACTTTCTACTTCTCTCATTTTCCAAACAGCTGGTTCCTTTAGTCTGAATGTGTGTTTGGTGCGTGATCATTATTCTTTAGAGTCATTGCGTGCCTATTGATTTGAACACGATCCGTGTATCCATCATTTCCTGGTCTTCTCTAAAGAAGAGGGACCAATGGAAACGTTGTCATGTTGCCGTTGTTCAGCATGGAAACATTCATTAGCTAACAATGACATTATTGTTCTATTAATATAAAGGGAGGTCAGGTACTCTTTAAAACAGCTGCTAGTTATGGGTACTTTTTACTGAAGTACATTTCAAAGCCCATACTTCTTTTAGTCAGTACTTCTACTTTTACCAGAGTATTTTTCAACACAAGTATCTGTACTTCTACTTGAGTAAAGGATGTGTGTACTTTTGCCATCTCTGCATATCTTTCCAAAAGATGTCATGTGTCAACATTTCTGTCACCCTTTCCTTCTGCATATGAAATGTTTTCTCTCTGACCATAAATAATATCCATGTGTTGTTTATTCAATGAATCCTAGAATAGGAAAGCTGAACGCGTCTCCCTGGGCTGTGAAGAAGATCAACACCAAGTGTGCATCCAATCAGATGGCGGTGTATCAGAAGCGCCTGAGCGAGGAGGCGAAGGTCCTGAAGGAAATCAATCACCCCAACATCGTTGGTAAGACGTCACTGCAGGAAAATGATTCAGGAGAGAAAACATAGATTAATAACTTAATGCTTCTTTGGGTCTCTATCATCAATTACCTGAGTAATACACTGAAGAGACTTAAGGTACAAACTGCACAATTATTATTGATGATAAAGGTTTCACAATCTCTACTTCAAATGGACAGCGATAAAACTCCCATTTTCACAAAGGCCTGATGAGAAAAATAAGTAAATGCATCTTCAGCATTGATGTTTTTTTAATCTCAGCTCACTTTAATAGTGCTCATTAAAGATATTAAAGAAGAGAATCTAAAACACAAAACAATTCAAATATAGGGATAAAATGAACATGTATAAAGTTAAAATATATATTTGTGATGTGAATGAACTGTAATGTAAACCGGAAAGTAGAGGATGTACAGGTAATAAGAAGTAAAGCATGAATATACATTCTGGGATGTTATCAGGTAGTAATACAAAGTAGTACAAATGGAAAAGGAAAGGAGGTGAAGGGACAATATATAAGTAAACATGCTCTAGATCAGGGGTGTTAAACTCAAGGCCCGGGGGCCAAATCCGGCCCACGACTTCATTTCATGCGGCCCCACAAGAGCTGGCAAAGAATATCATATGTTTATTATACAGTTACATGCCGCTTTACAGAAGCACAATGCCCATAAACTACATGTCCCACAATGCATCTCAAATTAGACTTTTTTCTCGGAAATTGACTTTTTTAATGTCACTTGTTTTTTTGTTTTTTTTCTCCAGAAGTTGGCTTTTTTTAAAAATCATTTTGTGACATGCGCACTGAAAGAGACTTGCAATTGTTTGCCCTAGACTTCTGCTTTCAGACGTAGTTAATTATGAAGTTATTACCCTATCCGATAATAATCCAATGTAATATAATACATTATTTTATATTTATATATGTATATTTATATCGTCTTAAAGTTACAACCGGCCCTTTGAGTGCAACCATGATGCCGATGTGGCCCGTGATGAAATTGAGTTTGACCCCCCTGCTTTAGATTCAGGCTGTTTGGACAAATGCTTTAACTGTGCTGTCGGCTTTTCCATACTTACTTACTTTAATTTTCGAACCAAACACAACAATCTGGTGTTGATTATGTGTCCCTGTCATCCCAACATCGTAGGGTTTCGTGCCTTCACCGAGGCCAATGACGGATCAAAGTGTCTGGCGATGGAGTACGGAGGAGAGCAGTCGCTCAACGACCTGATCGAGACGAGGAAGGTGGATGGCCTCAAAGCTTTCCCTGCTGCCAACATCGAGAAAGTAGCGCTGCATGTTGCACGTGGCCTTCAGGTAAACCATGAAGTCACTTCCACCTACATCTTTCTCTGGTGTCTGTATACACTAGAAATGTCAATATTAGTTTATTGTTTATGTCAGCTGCTCTTCCCATTTGAACCCCTTTGAAATCTGAAGTTATAGTGTCGAGGAGTGTAATCGAGCAGGTAATAGAAGTTCTTATTCTTTCCTTTCTCTCCCTAGTATCTGCACAATGAGAAGAAGCTGCTGCATGGCGACATGAAGTCCTGTAACGTCGTCATCAAGGGCGACTTTGAGACGGTGAAGATCTGCGATGTCGGTGTGTCTCTGCAGCTCGACGAGAACATGAGAGGTATCGTGAGAGTTCATGTCAGTGAAGAAGATACAAATCAACGCGGTAGCTTTAATGTGAAAATGCAGCCTTGTATACTCAAAAATAACAAACTGTGTTCCCCAGCTCCTCAATATATTAAGAATTAAAAAAAATAGTAGGTCAGTATCAGAAACTTTGTATACAACAGGGAAAATATAGCACATTTTCCTAAATTATTATTTATAGCAATCATTTGGACAAACCTTTTAAAATTGTAAAGAGTCATTCCTTTGTTGTTCAACCTTGAAGCAATTATCTCAAGGTTTTCAAGTGATAACAGTTTTGGAAATTGAGCGATAACAAAGCAGCCACACTCTTGCAACGTACAACCAAGTGTTTTTAGTCAATATGCTCAGACCGTTCAAAGGCCACTACACGTCTCTGACATCATTATGTAAAGACTGAGAAAGAAAAACAATGATTTACCTTTTAGCTAAATCCAGTCTGTTTGTAATTACATTTTTGTGTGCGCTCAGTTATTTCAAAGATTGTGCATCCCTTCCACATTGTTGCATTCAGCTTAGGGCTGCTCGATTATGGCAAAAATCATAATCTCGATTATTTGAGTCAATAATTGTAATTGCGATTATTAAATGTAATTATTCATTGACTTTGAAAACATCCATTTATTGGAGAGAAAGAAAATGTGAACAGTATGTTTTTAACAGTTGATTACCCTGAACTTTAAGTATAATTCAACTGAAAAACCAAAAATATATATATTTAAAAAAGTAATAATAATAAAAAAATAATCGTTTTATTTCGATTACATTGTTTTCGTAATCGTTGTAGGCCATAATCGTAATCGCGATTAAAATACGATTAATTAAGCAGCCCTAATTCAGCTTCATATTTAACCATGACATTAAAGTCATTTAGATATCACTAAACACATCCCTGTACTCCATCACATCAAACAAGACAAGTGATTAAAAAAAAATGGGTTTGCATGATTTTATCATCATGGATTAAAGCACAGAATTGGCAGAAAACATATGAGAGGAAACAACTGTTCAATGTAATGTTTGTGTTCCCTTCTTTACTCTCTTTACATCTTCATCTGCCAGTGGGTGTGTCCTCTATTATTGAGCATAACGTAAGCTAACTGGAAACTTCTGGATCTCTGCTTTGTTATTTAAACTGTAAAACGTCCGCGAAGAACAAGAGCTCTGTGTCTTTACAGAAAAATGTAATACGATATTAATTTAATGGTCAGATTCAGCTCTGTGTTTACTGCAGTGTTTCCGCCAGACCAGGACTGAGAGGACGTCCACCCCGCTCTCGGGGGGGGGGGTGGGGGGTGACGTCACGTGATTTGAGTTTTGAATTGAGCCGTCCCTTATAGATACTATCTCTTAACGTCTGCACACACACCATTTTGAATTGCGCCGTCCCTTATCCTATCTCTTAACGTCTCCCTGCCGACAGGGACACCCCTCCTGGCATGGTCCTTGGAAGATGCGGTGGTGTTTTGTTTTTTTTCTTCACAGGAACGCGCTTTGCTGGCGGCGAAAAGAATCCCATCAGACTCCTTTGCCCCTCCAACAGAGCGATGTCCTTTTCCTTTTTCCGTTTCGTCATTTCAAGCGATAAAAACTCTCGTTCTTCTCAAAAAAATTGTTGGACGCCCTCGGCGCGAGTCAAATCACGGCAAGACGTCCCCCTGGCGGAAACGCTGATCGACTGGAGCACAAAGGATGCTTCAGTCTGACTTCATTGAATCTCCCATTAGATGGTAGCCGTTCATACTCTCTGTTCAGAACATGCTTTGGGTCCCAGATGATGTTGTTGGACAGCCTCTCAGGTTATTATGGTAAGCCGAGTCATAAAGTCTTTGACAGGGTCGACCAACAATCTTTGAGCAGATTGTTGACAGGTGGAGCAGATTTGATTTTAAAGCAGTTGACAAACACTTGTACCGGGTAGTATTGCAGTACTGTAGAATAGACAAAATGTCCAACCTGGTTTCATTAATAGTGTTTTCCCTTCTCCTCAGTGTCAGATCCGAAGGCGGAGTACATCGGCACCGAGCCGTGGACACCGAAGGAAGCTCTGGAGGGCGGAGAGATCACGGACAAGGCGGACATCTTTGCATACGGGCTGACGCTGTGGGAGATGATGTCGCTGGCCATGCCTCACCTGGAGATGCTGGAGGGTGAGGACGACGAAAAAGAAGTAGATGAGGAGGAGGAAGATGAAGGTGAGACAGACGCTCTGTGGCCTCAGGACGCATGACTTTCACACTTTGTCAACACAAATTCCTTCAGGAGCCACATTTTAGACTTGTTTTACTGAAATATTGTTGGTGTTCCCATGCATATTAGATACACATTTGTAGCTTATTGGAAACAAATACTTCATAGCTGTTATGTTTAGTGGTACAAATCTGTCGCGAGCTGAGCTGCAATTATATCTTCTTTATACTGTGACTTTATGTTTTTATTTTGCAACAATACTATGACTTTAAACTGCTTTTGTTATACAATGCTAGGTCATGTCATTAGTAGTTTCAGAACTTCCAGTCTCTAAAAGATCTTCAAATTATACACATTTTGGTTAAGGTTATCGAAAATTGGGAACGTCTGTGGATAAAAAGCTTCTTATGGTTGATTTTGTTTGACATTTTCCGCTACATTCTAATCTCTAACCTTCAAATGATACAGTCACATTTTGCTTAAAGGTGGGGTAGGTAATTCACTTCAGAAACACTTTGTTATATTCCATGGAATGCTCTTAACATCCCGATAGCAATGAATATATTAAATGCTTTGACAATAAATACATTAAAAAATGTCATCTGTGGAAGCCGTAGCGCTGTAAAAAGCACGACCAATCATCTGAGCCGGCCCGGCTAAAGTAACTGGATGGCCTACCTGCCTGTCAGCCTTCCATCTGTGCACAAACTTATCTCGTGCCCTCATTGGTCATGTGCGCGTTCGTGTGTGTTGGAGGAGGGGCTCTGTAAGGAAGTCTGAAGGAAGGGGCAGATTTCTTCTGGTTGTGTACTTTCGAATTCTAGCGCACTCGAGCTGGTTTCTCCATTCTTACCTAGCCTACCTTTAAGGTTATCCAAAATTGGAAACGTCTGTGGATAAAATGGTTGATTTTTTTGGACATTTTAGGCCGCTACATTCAGACCAGTTGCGTTTGTGTTTCAGACAAATCGATGGAGTTCAGTTTCGACGAGGACGCGTACTACGATAGGTTGGGCACGCGGCCGGCGGTGGACCTCGAGGCTCTCGGCAGCTCGTACCGGAGGATGGTGGAGCTCTTCTACCTGTGCACTGAGGAAAACCCCAAGAAAAGACCCTCAGCCACACGGATCCTCCAGGCTTTAGAGAGCAACGTCCCGCTGAATAAAAACCCCAGCGAGGTGATCGTCATCGACTAGATCTGCAAGTTAGTTATCTAGTTTAGGATCCAGACTATTATTTAAAGACTGGTTTAAGATGTGTTGCAAATTTCTCTTATTTACTATCCAGAAAATGTAAATGTTTCAGATCTGGACTAAATGTAGGAAAACACCAGGCGCTGAATGGTTGATTTTGGCGGGAATGAGCTTAGAAAAACAAATCTTTATACTGTCCACGCTTTCAGGAGCATCTATTTGTGTTGTCCTTTTCCATGTATTTCAACTTCGAGAGTGTAAATGTTTCTACTTACTGTTTGTCTTATGTGTTTGTTTCTGCACTTCTGTAAACATTCATGTCTCGATCAAACTCTTGAGCTATCCTGTGTTTTCTTCTTTGGATGTTGCGCTTATGTATTATCGTTCATAATACAATTAAAGAAATATAGAATGAAGTTGTTTTTGTATTATTTGAGCTAAGCTGCAATACTATGTGCTTGTATTTTAGGTGTTAAAATCATGCTTAGCAATTTATTTCAAATGGGAAGTATTAGGAACTCTAAAGAAAACAGTGGTTATTATTTGATGCTAAAACGAGATTATCTTATGAGGTTGTATGTTGTATGTTATATTCCAACCCAGTCTCACGGCATTTTGTGTTATAGTCACGAAAATTAATCTATTTATTCGTGTTCACCAACACCATTTCCCCATTTTTTTTCGTGTCACACAGAACGATTTTAAAAGCAATGTAAATAATAACAAATTTGAAGGAAAAAAATATGTCAAATACAGACGATTTTAGAAGCAATGTATTTCTATTGGTAGTATGTTTCGTGCCTGTACCAAATAATTAAAAAAATTCTTTTTTAAATACAGATTTCAGTATTCTGAGGCTCTGAGCCCCATTTATTTTCCTCGCAGACGGCAAAAAAAGTTCGACATTATACGATATAATAAAAACAATAATCGTGGCTTGATATTGAGTAAGAAAATGTTTTTATGAACCACACAGCTTCCGGTCTTCCAAGACCCGATTAGACAAAAGAGGTTTCTCAATACTCTAATTTCCCCTCCTCGACTCCTATCCTCGAGACTTAGTGCCGCGAACAGGAGATGCGAGCGGAGGACTGAGGAGGGGAACCTAGGAGAGAGGAGTGGAAGCAGCAGGCGGTTAGAGAAATTATAACTCCTCTCCTCTGAGCGGTCATTTTAAAGAGACGTCCATTAATGATGACAGCAGCACTCTGTCTGATGGACAGATGTGTTCATGACGACTTATATATTTACTTTTAATTCATTGACAGTGCGGTATAATGAGACAATAACAGGCTACAGATGCGGACATAGACACACACATATATATTATATAAATATACAATTTCAGAATCAAACAATTATGAGAGCACTCATAACGTAACACAATCAGAGACTGGATATACCCCGGTCCTCGATGTGCATTTAGAGATGTCCTTCAACATGGCGCGCTGAAATCCATTTCCGGGTCACTGCCGGAGGAGTGGAGGAGGGGAAATTAGAGTATTGAGAAACCTCTAAAAAGACGTGGTGCAGGCACGAAACACACTACCAATAGAAATACATTGCTTTTAAAATCGTTGTGACACGAAAAAAAGGGGAAAATCTTGTTAGTAAACACGAATCAATAGATTAAATGTATTTCGTGACTATAATACGAAATGCCGTGAGACTGGGTTGGTTATTCTAAAGACTTATAGTGTTCATGTTTGCAGTTAATATAAAGCTACAGCAGCTAGCTACCGTAGCACAAAGACTGGAACGAGCTAGATTTGTGTTTGTAGTCACACAGATACACTTTTTAAAAGGAAGAATTCTATAAAACAGATTTAAGAGAACTGTTAGTCAGGTTTAGTCAGGGTCAAGTCATTTCTTTTTTAAGACCCTTTCCATACATTTTAAGACCTCATCGCCACTTGGAGTTTTAACCGGTTACCTTGGCGACACACTTTACCTCACATTGACTATATACAGTATTGATTGTCCTTCCTCCTTATCTTCCAACAATTTGGACGCAGACTTGCATTTCCCCATAACGATGTTGTTTAACAACCGGCGTAAACAGACCTTCGCGCGATGTCCTGTTCAGATGACGTCAAACCCAACGGGATGCCATCAATAAACTACACAGAATCACACTACACACCTACGCAATGATTACATTCAGGCAGACTGTAGAATACAACCTCTTTGGACCATTTATATACTTATTGAAAACAAGCTACAACATGTAATACCTTGGAAAATGCCGTTTAATACTTTTTAATAGGCTTAATTTCCACTAAATTGATTTATCAACTTTTAATACTTTTGAATACCCCGCGGACACCCTGGTTAGTGTATAAAAACACGTTCAAGAAACAATTTTAGGCAATATGTTTATTAATGTATTTACAAAGTAGAATGGCCTCCACATCTCAAACAGGTCTATTAACATATGTTCCTTCCAAAAATATTCAGAAAAACGTCCAACTGGAAGTACCATAAAAAAGGAAAAACGTATATAAAGGAGGCCTCTTGGTGTCTTTGATACAAAAATGGAAAAATATTTTCAGTCCCTGCCCATTTCAAGCTGCTCATTAAGCAGAATATAAACATCTGAATACAAAACACTAATATACACAACATTCAACAGCAGAACGGAATATAAATACTGAGCGATAACAGGCGCATCATTAACATACTTCACCCACTAAATGTCCTTTGAATTATTAAAACGCCATGTTTTCCTGAATATTTCAAGCACACTTTGTTCATCTCACATGCCTCCACTGTGGCAAAATGCTCTAAAAATAACCCAGAAAGTATTGATGAATGTATTAAATGTCATCTGTCTAGCAGCAACACTATCAGATTTAAAATGACAGTTTCATATCTAAAAGAGCATTTTAAAAATAGTAACTTTAGGTCCAAAACCTTTGATTAAACTGCATCGTTTTTCTATTAAAACACAGCCCTGATTTACTTTACCCAATTCTGTACTCAATGTGGAGGTTTGCCAGAAAAGACCTTTCAGATGTAGGGCGACTACAGATGAAGATTTTGTGGGTGAAGTGTTGCTTTAATCCTGAACACAGAACGTATCGTAACTAAACATCTGAAGCTTAAACACTCTTCAATACAATCTAACGCCTAGTCCACATAAGAACCTGAACAAGTATTGCTTTGTATATGAAAGACAATTTAACGATTGCCGGAAGGTGTATTAATAAGCAATACTTATAATGAAACGTGAGAGTTAAAACAGTAATGCATCCTCAAGCTTTTTACTTCATGAGATGAAGTTGTAAACGAGGAAGGTCGGTGTGTTGGAGAACTTTGTAGCAAACTGTTTGCCGTCAGGTGTCGGGTCGGAGAAGGCGATCTCCTGCTTCGTTAGATGGCTGCCGTACACGAAGGTGCTCCTTTAAGAAAACAAGGAAAAGGGAAGAACCATGTTTTTAAAGTAGTGTCAGGTTGTCCATATGTCGAAATTCAGCATTATCTGTGTAAGGATGGTTTATTAATGACATTTAACATTTATTTTTGACCCTCAAAACAACAATTGTATCATAACCAGAGCTACACAAATTAAACAAGCAGTTATCAATTAAATGTATCTATATTTTTTTCATTAATTTAAAAAAGGAGAAATATTAGCGAGCATGTGGTAAACTCCTGATGTTTTGAACAACTCACTTTTACTTGTTAACTGAACTAAAGGTTTTAGAAATGGCTACAAAGACACATTTATAAACAATAGGTTATTTCTAGGGCTGTCAGTCGATTAAAATATTTTATCGCGATTAATCGCATGATTGTCCATAGTTAATCGCACATTTTTTATCTGTTCTAAATGTACCTTAGAGGAATATTTTTCAAGTTTTTAATACTCTTATCGATACAACATTACATGTTGATAGAAATCAACACGTAATGAAGACCCCACGGTTTGATGATTGATAGGTGTGTGGGCTGTCTTTCATTTTGACACACAGAACAATGTTATAATAAACATACATACTGTATGTTAAATGGATATATCCGCCTTCTTTCATTTATCTTTCCATTCCCACAACAATATACATCAAGAAATGGCATATTTTGGACATAGTTCGAATGGTGATTAATTAATTTGTAATCGTTTGACAGCCCTAATATAAATGGATCAGGACAAAAAGAGAGAGAATCTTTGTTCCTGAAACTTTCAGAATCTCTTTACACAGAGGGGACACATGTTGATGTAGAAGAGACATGAAGAAGAGGGGACACATGTTGATGTAGAAGAGACATGAAGAAGAGGGGGACACATGTTGATGTAGAAGAGACATGATGAAGAGGGGACACATGTTGATGTAGAAGAGACATGGAGAAGAGGGGACACATGTTGATGTAGAAGAGACATGATGAAGAGGGGACACATGTTGATGTAGAAGAGACATGATGAAGAGGGGACACATGTTGATGTAGAAGAGACATGATGAAGAGGGGACACATGTTGATGTAGAAGAGACATGGAGAAGAGGGGACACATGTTGATGTAGAAGAGACATGAACAAGTGGATTTTGCATAATAGGTGACCTTTAAGACTTGTGTTGTACCTGACGGTGTCCAGCATGCGTGTGGCGATGCCCTGTCGTCGGGCCAGGCTGAAGACCCAGATGCGGCTGATCCCACAGAGAGCCTGCTCGGGGACGGTGGAGCAGCACCAGGCGCGGTGTCGCTCCATGAAGTCGTCCTTCGTCATGTCTTTGTGATGCTCCGGCTGCTCCAGCACTCTGTACGCCTGAGGAGACATACCAAGGAGCAATTAGGCTAACAATTAACTGCAAAGGGTTGAAAAGTCACTAACCAAAGGGAATTGGACTTGTTCTCAGTGAAAGTATTAAAATGATGCAAAAGGTCAGAAATGCAATAGGTTATTCTGATTTATAACATGCCTGTATTATTTGATTTGTATGCATGTATGTATACAGACCATGGGTACAGACAGAGATCAAAATACCGTTTCCCACAATCCCAAATATATATATATATATATATATATATATATATATATTAGGGCTGTCAGTCGATTAAAATATGTAATACGATTAATCGCATGATTGTCCATAGTTAATCGCGATTAATCCAACAGTTTTGTATCTGTTCTAAATGTACCTTTTCAAGTTTTTAATACTCTTATCAACATATGAGTGGACAAATATGCTTTATGCAAATGTTTATTATCATTTGAACAATGACAAATATCCTCATGAATATTAAACACAACAACCTCTGAACCTCAATTCAACCTGGAACCTCTCTCATACAATAATACAATACAGTGTGTGTGTGTGTGTGTGTGTGTGTGTGTGTGTGTGTGTGTGTGTGTGTGTGTGTGTGTGTGTGTGTGTGTGTGTGCATAGAGTAGAGTAGGGATCGACCGATATGGCTTTT